TCTCTCTCTCTCTCTCTCTCTCTCTCTCTCTCTCTCTCTCTCTCTCTCTCTCTCTCTCTCTCTCTCTCTCGCGCGCGCGCGCGCGCGCACGCGCATGCGAACATTGTGAGTCCCCGACAACCTGCAGAAGCCAGTGCTAATGCTTGTTGACACATGGCAGATTCCCTGATCTCATTGGCAGTTGTGGGCCCGTGCATGGGCGTAGAACTGGTATGTTAATGCTGACATGTTACTGACGTGGCAGCTGCCGCTGACGTGGTCATTGTATACCATTTAACAAGCTGATCAAGGCATTCACTGAATGTCATTTGCCTCATGCCACGTGTCACTAGCTGCGGATGCAGCGCTGCTTTTCTTTCTTACACAGTGGTAGCTGCTGCCGACGTCGCGGTGGCACACACTGCATGGTGCACAGCAGGTTGTCAAAGGAAGCGGTCCTTCAATCAATTACCAATTTTAAGACTGCAACCAGTGAAAAAGGCGTGGACCAGATTTTTTGTTAGTCCCTCGTGAATTGTGATTTGATCCCTTCTCGAAAAAAAGAAAAAAAAAGAAAAAAAAGAAAAAAAAGAAAAAAAGATATGATAATTAATGTCGCCGTCCCAGTTGTGACGTTGCTGGGATTATGAATTCATCATTTCACATTTCAAATCATTTCAAAATTCAAATCATTTCAAATCATTTCAAATCATTTCAAATCATTTCAAATCTTCATGATCGCTTCGGCTGAAAACTAAACTTTAAAAACTTCCAAACCATCATTATCAATGGCAATATTTATGTTTATGTCGGAGGGCCTCGCCCCCCGACTACTCACCACATGCACAAAAGACAAGAAATATGGTGGGTGTATCTTCCCCTGTTTCTAGCGGAAAATTCATTCGCATTTGGCAGATTGGTGAGGAGCCGAACGAGGCCCTGAGTCTCTAGGACGCGCAGAAGGAGATGACTTTAGTTTTGTTCATTGCGTCAATTTGTGCGGCATCCGTGAGGACGGAAGTAGCGAGGGGTTCAGAGAAAGGAAGACAGAAAGATTGGTTTTTCAAAGAAAGAGAAAGAGTCTGAAAGACAGAAAAAAAAAAGTGTTAAAAGAAGAAGAAAGAAACTGTAAGAAAGACGTATTATATTTGTCGAAGGCCATGATCTGATAATTTTATTCCATTAAGATACACTTACCCAAGTTATCCTCATTGGTTCATTTTTTTTATTCTTAGTAAGATTTACCTCAGGAAGATTTACCATAGTAAGATTTACCTCAGGAGGATTTTTCCTCATCAGATTTATCGTCGTAAGATTATCCAAGTAGGATTTAGCGTAGTAAACATTTATCCTAGTACAATTTATCCTTGTAAGATTTACAGTAGTAAGATTTGTCCAAAACTTGCCCTAGTAAGATAAGACCTAATCTTCTAATCTTCATGGTTACTCTGGCCCCGCTCACCATGTTTTGCAGGAAAACCCTCCATCATGCTCAGATTCAAAAGGCGCCAAGGTTGATCGCATCACCGAAAGTATGTGCTCTTCTTCTTCTTCTTCTTCTTCTTCTTCTTCCTCTTCTTCTTCTTCTTCTTCTTCTTCTTCTTCTTCCCCTCCTCCTCCTCCTCCTCCTCTTTCTTCTTCTTCTTCTTCTTCTTCTTCTTCTTCTTCTTCTTCTTCTTCTTCTTCTTCTTCTTCTTGTCTTTGTTCTTGTTCTTTGCCTCCTCACTTTGTGGTTGTCTCTTGTCTCCTTGCTTTCCCAGGAAGTTTGTTTTTCCTGCCAGCAGAAGCCTTTTAGTAACTGAGACTGACTGGTCTTCAGAGGTCTATCATCTGATTTGTGCAGTTTTGGACTTGTTGTACTTCGACGAACCCGGTTCAAATGTCAGACTAGGTTCAAGCCACGTAAACCTGGTTTGTAAATGCACCCACCTTGTTCACGTCAGTAAACAGGTGACTTCAGCACATACCATTTGGGCCCGGCTTTCTTGACGGTACTTAGTTTCTCTCTCTTTTGCCCTGCCTAGAAATCTGGGCAGCGTGCATAGACAGCCTTGCACCTCTTTTTTTTTTTCTTTTTTTTTTGCCTGCAACAGGTGTAAGCTTCTGATCCGACAGTACTTACGTCAAGTACTTTTTGCATTTTCGTGGGATCCCACTACTTTCTGCAGTCGCAGGGAGTGGCGGCCCCGTCGGAGGTCGTTTTGGAGTTTAGGTGTCGTGGCAGTTCGCGCGGATTCCATTCCGCAAGAAATTGTCTCGATTTGCTAGAGAGCCAACCACGGTCTCTGCAGCTAAAAAGATGGCGAAGTTTTCCTTCTTTTTTTTTTTTTTTTTTCATGTCCATCGCTCAAAAAAAAAAACGCCACACACAAGGGGTCCGTTCGCTGGACCATACGGACTGTCTCTCTTTTCTCTGGAACCGCAGGCGCCCACATAAAAGCGGCGGTACTGTCGTGAGAGCTCCTTTTTCGACGGCACTGTCGGGTCCCGTTTTTGTATCACGACCCTAACGGTCCGGCCCCGACTTTCCAGTTTCTTTTAGGTTCTCTTAGGTTTGAAGTACTGTCGGATCAGCGCCTAAGTACTTCAAGGGGTTAAACCACCACCACTGCCTCCGAGCTGCGCGCCAAGTTTTTTGGCCGAAGCGTCAGCATGGCGTTTTTTGTTTTTATTTATTTTGGCTGGTGCCACCAAACTCTCGCCTCCGCTGGCCTCGGAAGAATGCGGCATAGGGTTATATTTACAACTTTGCCTTCCCACCTGAAAGGTAGTGCTGGTTTCAACCACCAGTACATGGCCCCAGGCAACTGGAGAGCCTTTTTTTTTTTTTTTTTTTTTTCAACTCCGGCTCATGGTACTG